TTGAGATAGCTAGACCCTGTTCCATTCATGGTGCTTGTACTCGTCACACAATTCCTGGCCGCACACGCCATTTGTTTGACTTTCTGTTGTGGGTCTAATAAATTAAATTAACGACTGGCGATATATGCATTCCTGAATTTCTTTTCTTTTTTTGTGCAAATTAAATTGATATATTGGCGTTTCATGTTCATAAAAAAGAGATTATATTGAATAATATTGAAACAAATAGGTCGGAAAATTTTTGTGAATTATTGGAGTTTAGAGGATTTATGTTATACTTGCTACTATGATTAGTTTTGATATATAATTTAACAGAATATCCTAGCTAGCCTCACAGTTTCTAATTGAAGCTTCATTTTTTTGTTGTCTTTATTTAAATGGGCAAGTAAGTGTTATCAAGTCGGCTGTAAATATAATGCCCAAGCATTGAACTTCGTCCAGGATAACAAGCGGGACGCTGGCGGTGAAAGTTGTAGGTTGGTTAGTTAAGAAATAAACATTTTTTTAACTCCGCCTATGGTGGGACGCCTTTGGTGTCCCAGCATAGCAGGTCCCAAGCCCTGGTAAAGGAGGAGGGTTGTGTTAGGCGCGGCGAGTCAATGTAAAAACTTAGCGACTTTAATGGAGATGAAACCCAAAAGCATTGTGGAGTCGTAAGCTAAGCTAATAATATGAGGAGAAGTAGAGGAAGACCGAAATCGACATGGGGGAGATAATAAAAAGATATTTGAAAGCTTGGGATATACATAGAGATCTATGTTTGAATAGGAGTACTTGGAAAGCAGCTATTGAAGTGCCTGAACCGTGACTTGGGGCTCTTGGTGTGTTTCAACTCTAGTCTACCCCAACGTGCTTTGGACTGAAAGGCTATGTTGTTGCTATTGTTGTATATGTAGGCAAGCTTGCATCGGGGTTTCTAAATTTGAACCTACACGAACTTCTTGATCACCAGCACGAATGTTGATTTTTCACACACAAAATGACAAGTTTTGCGCATGTTCTTGGTTGAAATAAGGCATGGCATCGGTGCAAGTGAGTGCACATGTGTTTCTATAAAAAAGAAGGGCCTAGCTAGTTGCTGTTATTCTTTTTACTGGACAACCATTGAACTTTAACTGCTACCTAGCTAGGTTGCAATATTGCATGCTTCCTTTACAATATAATAAAGTCTGATTGTTGCTTTAAAACTGATAACCTACTGGCAAAAGACTATTTTTGTTAGTTTTCCAGTTCCAACATGGCACTACAACGGTTAATGGCAGTATATGTAAAGTTTCAAGTATATAGAGCCTCGATCCAGCATAGGAATAATCATGATGATATATACTTTATTTTCATAAGCATGTAAACCACTTGTATTATCTCATTCCCACTTCTGTTCCATCTTGCATGTTTGCTCAATCTAATCTTATTATATCTATGTAGATATATGCACCTGCACATCAAAGCTTCCTTTTTATGTAAAAAAAGTATATGTAATGAAGCTATGTCATGGTGGTCATGTAGATCTGTAATCTCCAACCAAGGCATTGTTGCACTATTAACTTGTCTGTCATGTGATAGAGGATATATATGCAAACTAAACCAGATCCTACAGGTTTGTTCCTACACTAGTGTAGCATATGAATGCGCCCTTAGCCAATCTATAACTACCATGCAAGCATGTCAAGTGATCAAGAAATTAAAAACAAGAGATGGTTTTATTTCAAGTTTGAGTAACATTGCTTGTTGGATTAACCATATCTTTACTGGTAATGGCTCAATGATGTTTTCAATTGTATATATGTCATTTTAGGATTTTTGCGATCAAGTCTTTTCAACTTTTATGATCAATATTTATGGACTTAGATAATTGTTGATGTAAGACTGATGTTAGTGAATTTATCCTGAAAAATACTTGCATATAATTTTTTTTGTTTGGATTTTTTATTTTTGCAGAAATTACTTGTAAATGTGTTGTCATGTTGAACTTGTCGATGTACTCCGTAGTAAACAACTTGTAGTTGTGATCAGGGAAAGTACATAGACTTTAATAATACATTACAACAATTAATAAAATTAGAATGTTACAACCTTTGCATGGCAGGACTGAGCATGCATTTTGCTAAAAAAAAGACTGAGCGTGCATATAGTGTGAGTTCAACATGCGGTTCTATCTGTTTACCTCCTTGGAGCAGCATATATTTATGTCTGGGATTTTACACATTGATGAGGTAATGTCATTTAAAGTGGAGAGGTATGACATATACGAACTTACAGTTATTTTATTTTGGTCTTGACATTTTGCGGCCCACATGAATTGATGCAACTTAACTCGGTATATATATGGTACTATCTCCATCCTGAAAAGAATGCAATTGTAGTTGTTTCCTTTATCAAATTATTGAAAGTTTGACCAAGTTTATAGAAGATAGTATCAATATTTATGACACAAAATAGGTATAGCTATAAATATATTCCATGATGAATCTAATGACACTTATTTGGTATCATAGTATTCATATATTTTTTGTATAAACTTGGTCAAACTTCAAATTGTTTAACTCGATTGGTACTCTGTTAGAATTACATAGACAATGTGATTATGAAAACGTATGAGTTATCTTATTAGTGTTCCTATGGCATCCTACATAAGCATGCATAATTCATGTCCTGAAGTTAAAGCTGCAGATTAGATTGCTGAGTAGTTTATTGAGCCGAGAAATGAATATATAAGGTTGTTGTTAGTTAATAAAAGGGACTGATGACTTCACACGTACGTCACCGTGGTACTATAAAAGTTCTACTGTACCATTTTTTTAGAACTAAATATGATGAAATTTCAAATAATGATAGCTACTATAAAATTAATGTGGATATATATATGTTGGTTGTTCCCTTCCTCATTTGAAATGACAGGTACTGAGTGTATCGTAGTGATAATGATATTACCAAGATTAAGTTCATTAAATCAATATATGTCACTGTTGTTGGAATAGTACCTGAAAGTTACTCGGTGAGTACTGGAATTTATTTGAGTCCTTTACATGAGTTCAAATTAATTGGATGGATCCCATGTTTTAATCATTTTATGAGAAGTAAAATGGTTGTGTCCTACCTATATATAGGTGGTGGACATCTCTGGAGAATGTCTTTGAACCTTTCATTTGCTTGATTCTAGCACAGCTCTGATGATTAGTGAAAGGATACCATCGTATATACATGCCACTTAAAGTGCGCCATACTGGAATTCTAATCCCTGCAGGATTATTATGCTCTGACTCTAATTAAACTCTACGCACATATTGTGATGTCACACATGTAATTGCAGTGCCACAGTCTCACACGGGGGCGGGTCCAGACTAGCGCCTCTACCGGTATACAACCCATAGAGCCCCTATAAGTCTTTTGCCGGCCATATGGAGAGGAAGAAAGCTATCTATATAAAAGATTTATAGAGGAGAAGAAAAAGATATATGGAGGTAGAAAAAGAGTAAGCGCTGATCTAACAGGTCATGTTTATGCTGGTAGCACGAGGAAATATGAAGTAAATTAAGTGTCATCAAGAACCAATGAAAATTCACAATTGTTTTTCGGTTTTATGAAATATGGTGGTCCTTTTTCTCGAACTTCGTAGCCAATCTAGATTGTGTATGATGCTAGTTTAAAAAAAAAGATTGTGCATGATGTTACTGTTCAGATATGTTCATGGTCATATCTAGCTCTTTCTACATAACAAGATTCGCTACAGCAGGTGGTGCTGTTTTTTACAGTAATAGTACAGACACAGTAAGAGTTGGCTGCAGCAGCCACAGCAACTGCTACTGCTAGATATTGATATTGAGAATCAACGTACATACTCAGGACATAGCCTCCTCAATTCTATGTATCAGGAAGTAGGGTACGGAGTAGGTCATTCCGTGTACTAGCTGATAATCGAATCTAGAAAAAAAAATCCAATGTCAGAGCTTCCTTTTAAAATACTACTCCTAGAACGTTTTGGTAAATGATGATCTGAGATGTAAAAATTCAAAACTCCGTGAAATCAGATGCTAAATTAATTTTATCTGTAAATGAACATATTTATTATGTATAATATACAAAAAAAATATATGAAGAACGTACTGATATGTTGGGCTTGCAGCTTTTAGCTGTATTTTGTAGCTATTCGTTTCGACAGGGCCAGGAGCACAAGACTTCATTGCAACTGATGCAGTTGCAATTTTACGGGCATGTGTATCGGCACCTTTTCCTTCTGGATGGAAACTGTTGCAGTTGCAATTTCACGGCCATGCACTACTGGAAACTGGGTTTTTTCTGCGTGTGCAAAAACACACAAGAAAATATTTTTCTGACGGTGTACCCTCAGAAAAATAACCACAGAAATATAATGACAGAAAAATTCAATTGTTCTGTGTGTTCGCCGTCAGAAACAATTTTTCTGTGGGTGTTACACGCACAGAAAAATTGCGTTAGCCCAGATTAATTTTAAATATTGTGTGCGTTAATCCTCATAAAAAAAAGAAAAAGCCTGACAGAAAAATGATTTTTCTGTGGGTGTTACACGCACAGAAAAATTGCGTTAGGCAGATTAAATTTAAATGTTGTGTCGGTCTCGGTTAACGCACAGAAAAATAAAAGAACCATCGACAGAAAAAACCTTTAACCATGCAGCAAATATGGACTGTCCATACCGTAATTTTATCACAACATAATAGATAGCATACATATAAAGATCCAAATGTTCAGCACATTCATTAATGGCATCCGGACTACATATAGATGATGTCCAAATGGTCCGGCATCAATACATTCAAAAGCATTACCATCTCATCTCAACAGTTTAAGTCTCAGTCAAGATGAGTAAAGTATAAACATGCATCATTGAGTCATATTATAGCTAAAACTAAAACTAAAACTAAAGCTAAAACTAAAGCTAACACAACCATCACATTATCAATGCATGATCACCATTGTTGTCGGAACCTTGATTGTTGTCAAGGTTTGCAGCATGAAGATCATCATTGGTGTGGCTGCAACATTGAACCAGTATAAGCAATCAATAGTCAGGATAAGTTAAATGGCCTGCTTGTGATAATACTTACAGCATGAGCACCCATTGGTGGAAATCCAGCTGACTTAGGGATGGATCCAACAAGCGGACCATTGGTAGGTGGAGGTGCTCTTACTCCATTGGTAGGAGCAGCACAAGAGTGATCAGTAAAGAGTGTCTTGATGTCAGGGTTTGGTCTGGGGTTCTTGCAGAGCTGATGTTGCCAGTTCAGACTGAAAGGCACTAGAAAGAAATAAATAAAGCCCAGTTAGCCTCACATTTTACATGCACGAAATGTGCTTCTGGAAGCACTGTTAGACTTGTAGGCATAACAAGTAGAGAAATCCCAATTGTGCATGTATGGATACAACCTTACAATAAGGGGAAAAAAGGATGGTATCTGCTATAACATAAGCATCTAAAGCTAGAGCCACTATAAAGTGATAAAATTTCTTTGCACATTGTCGATAAAAGCTGATTACTTGGGATAAACAGGTAGAGATGTCCAAATCACATGAAAACAATCCCAAAAGAACCATATCAAGAAGATTTTGTAGTGCTGGACAACCAGGAGCAATAAAATTCCAACAAGCAATGACTGCATTTAACTGTCACCTTATCCATCCATAAATACTAAGGGAAGTCAAAGAAACACATCATTTGGCATCAGAATAACCAAAAAGAAGATAAAGAACAAAAATAGTGAACCTACACAAGTAGCAGTTAGGTGATTGAACTATTTGATTTATATCAGTTGTGCACATAAAAATAGTAAACCGACAGCAAATTCAGCAAAAAAAACAACCTTGACAACAACAAGGGGCCAAGAGTAGCGTAGTGATGAGTCGGTCACCTATCAAGGGCCTCAGGTACTTCTGCTTGCGGATCTCAAAGATCTTCATGGAGTAGCGGTTGTCCTCCAGCTTGGTGAAGCCGCTGAGGTACCTCTCCACCTCATCCCACTCGTCGCCCTGCACGAGGTCCTCGAAGTGCTTCATGTTGAAGTAGAAGCCCGACTCCTGCTCCAGCCTGCACGGGCAACCGCAAAAAGCATCAGAAATCCCAGCTCACCCAGCAAAGCAAGGCTCCAAAAACCCCATTCATGATCATGGCGAGTACTCACTTGTGCACCGTCTCCTTGAACTTCTCCTCATCGAGGAACTGCAGGATGAGGAAAACCAGCTCCCTGCTAAGAGACAACCAGCTGAAATGGATACTTGGGCTGACAAGCTTCTTAGTTCTTACACATATTCAAGTTTTCATAATACAAATGCTGCCCATAATTACTTCTAGCCTTCACAAAGCAGTACAGCTGCAAGAGACAGGAAGAACTTACAAATCTACAAGTGCAAAAGAAATGACAGGCAGGCAGTGACCATCTCCAAAAATTTCACATTTGAAAGTATATAATTACCAAAATTTCACAGAAGAAATACCACAAGACAGTGACCATCTCCAGAAATTTACCCATTATCAAGAGCAAAAGAACTCGAGAAATGGCTCAGATTTACCCATTATCAGCATGACAACTGCAACTTAATTTCACCTGGAGCTTAATTTAATTCTCTCTCTCTAATGGGAATTGAACTGGCCACAGAACTGGTTGCTTGTACTGGTACAAGCCATCCTAGTTAAGCAGCAAACAGAACAAAATATCCCAAGTACCAGCTCATAAGGTGCTAAAGTGCAGAAGTTCTCTAATGGAAACTTGATTCATCACAGCCACTCAAGAGTAGTACAAAACAAAAAAAAGTCACAAGGCATAGTTAGGGAAGGGGAGAAAATAGAAGTCGTAGATTTGCTGGTTGCATACCTACATGAGAAAATAGAACAAAGAATTAACCAAACAAAACAAATGGTTTTAACAGGCAGTTTGACATGTACCAAACTAGTAACATACATGAGGTGCTATACTAGTCAGCGCTTTCACAAAAATATCCAAATTATTGCTAAGAAATAAGACATTGTTTCAATCTGTAGAAGCATATAGATCATTTTATTTTAGAGAAAGACATACAACCAATAGAAAGAGAGAACAACAGTCATAAACGTATAATCCATTTGTCCAAAAATTGAATTACACCAACCAGATCAATGTAATGATTTTGTTTGGGTTAAAGAATTAATAAGTGCTGCCCCTAGCTGCTACAATTTGAATAAGCTGCTGCTATCATTTGAGCCTGACACATTCTTTACCTCAAAGACAGAGTAACTGCTAATGCATGGTCTGAATTTTTAGACGCAAGCAACATATACGCAACACCATAACGACGCAAGGTAGTCAAAAGTAACATCTTACGAAGAAAAGAAACCGTCCACCGGTGAAACTTCCTGCGTCTAATGCATAATATTTAGGTAAGTCGATGAGTTTCGGTGGCGTGTAGTAAAAACATGCACTAGTGATATGTTGCCCTGTAAACAGTGTCTCAAAATTCCATTAGTGACATTCCTTGCATGGCAGGCAGTGTAATGTAGAAATACAAGGTTGAGAAAAGTTGGTAACTTACATGGGAACTGCATTTTCTAAATGGTCTGGATGTTAAATTGTAGAGTGATCTTCTGAAGATTTGGTGTGTGCTGGAGAAAGCTAAGTAATGCATGGAGATCTCCAGACAGACACCAATCAACAAGACAAAATGTTCTTAACTTGTGAAACATAGGGCAACATTCCAAGTCCTTTTTGAAATTAAACTGAATTGCAAATGGATAAATCCAAGTCATGACTTAAACTTAAGATCTGATCATGCGATGATATATACTGAGGTGGACATATATGAACATTGAATATATAAGCACTGCATTTAAATATTATAAGCTCATCTACAACATTTACGCTGAAAGGAAAATCATCAATATCCCTAGTTTAGTTATTCATCAACTGAGAAATTGAAAGAACTGAAGCGTATGCAGAACAAGTTATGGATACATATCATAAAAAACTCTTACATGTATTCACCACAACCTGGTCTTTCAAAGCACATGGATGCATAGCAATTGACTTGGACTTTATTACTTTTCATGTTAATAGATGTAGAATATAGTTGGTTAAATATATCGTGAACTAAAAAAAAGAACTAAAGTTCATGACAAAATAAGGACAGGGTAACTTCTTACATATATCATTGTATCTCCACAACCTGATCTGTAAAAGAACATTCATGGATAATTATATCATGAACTAAATTTAATTTAGTAGCTGGATAATTATATCATGAACTAACAAATTAAAAGAACTAAAGTTCATAACAAAATAAGGACACAGGCGGCAGAAATATGAGAGCGGTCATCATTTTCCCCTGGGCTAACACCAAATCTGCACTTGACAAAGCTCAAGCGTTTCGCAGACGGGGAGATGAACTCACAGGCTTCGAATATGCACGAGGTGATCTCAAGATCCTCGAGCGCTGGACATCTCGAAAAATCCATGACATATTCTTCGGTGTACACACGCTCAATATGCAGCACCGGTGAGCAGGCACGGCGCCGACCACCGGCGGAGCCCAACCACGCTGCGCTCTGGCCGGGGACGGCCACCGTGGGCGGATTCGGGGCGGTGCGGGGCAAGGAGGGGAGGGGCCGGGGCCGGACGCCGGCGGGAGGAGAGGAGGGGAGGGGGTGGGGCGGCGCGGGGCAAGGAGGGGAGGGGCCGCCGGCGGGAGGCAGTGACAGGGAGCGGGGGCAGGGAGAGGAGGGCCGAGCAGGCGCGAGTGCGTGCGTGCGGCGGCCGGCGGGTTAGGGTTAGCACTTCTTCGTTTTTTTTATTTATCGTGTGCATATATTTTTCTGTGCGTGCATACATTTTTTTCTGTGCGTTTTTAAAGCACGGATAGAATAAATTGAGTTTTTCTGTGAGTGCTGATTTTTTCTGTGTGTGTATTATCACGCACAGAAAAATCATACAATTATTCTGTGGGTTTTCGTATTTTTCTGTCGGGATATTTTGAAACCGACAGAAAAATCGTAATTTTTCAGTGCGTACCGAAAAAAACGCACAGAAAAAAAATTCACGCACAGAACAATTCGAGTTTCCAGTAGTGATGTGTATCGGGCACCTTTTCCTTCTGGATGGAACTGTGGTGGGTTGGATTTTTTTATTTTTAACCCTTTTAAAATAATATTTGAATAAAAACTTATTTTTTAAAATTAACTCTTTTGACCACGCCGTGCAACTTGATGCAGCAAAACCATTATGCTAAGCCAGTGCAGTCACAGCGTGCCCAATCTTCTCAATCGGGCCAATGCAGTCAACCAGTCATAGCATCCCCAACAGAGAGATAACTACGCATTGAGTGACTCGTAACGGCTAGGGTTAAGCCGCCATCCTCCAACGACCTTCGCCCTTCGGCCAGTCGACCAGGTCACCAATCTTGCAAGTGGCGTTGCATGGTTGTGGTTTGATGCCTAATGGCGTCCCCAATAAGACTATTTGAGCTAGCTATTTGATTGCCAGACTCCGATGTGGAGGAGGGAGGAAGCTGGAAAACAAGTCGCTACCGATTGTTTCGTCGCCTATCTCGCACGGTTCCCAAAAGAACTACGGTCACTGCTATGCTGGGCCAGTTTACTGCTGCGTTCAGGCTCTTTTTTTTTATTCTGTTTTGGTGCTACATCAGCTGGCGAAGTCGCCAATCCGCTGGGGACGCCCTAAGAGCAAGCTCAATGTATGGTAAAACCAGTCCATAAGAAGGGGCCTGCACCAGTGCTCCTTTGCTATTTCCTCTTTCACAATGTCCAGCCCGTAAGATGGAGCCCACATTGGGGCCCACTAACACATTAAAAAAAAGGACACCCAACCGTCCAGCCTCTCCCACGATTCCCCATCTTGCGACTTCGCCCATGCCGCCGCCTCCGACGCGCAGCCCTCGTCCCTACCGCCGGTGCATCTCCACCCCTCTCCATCCCCAACCTGGCGCGTCCCCGCACCACTCCATCCTCATCCCCGCCGCCGCCCGCCCTCTGCCGTGGGGACATGGGCCTCCGATGCTCCCTCTGCACCTCACGAACAGCCGGGATGGCCGGGGCAGCGACCTCAAGGGCGACGTGGATGGTTGGAGCGGCGTCCTCAAGGCGGGGGCGGATGGCCTGGTGGCGGCTTCACGAACGGCGAGGATGGGCCCCAAGAATAGATGGGGCGGCATTGCGAGCTGCACGGCCGGCGGGGGTGCTGATCTGCCCGGGCCGGTGCGGCAACCACAAGGAGCACATGGAGCTGGCGGTGCTCGTCCGGACAGCGGGTGCAGCAAGGTGTTGTTGGTGGTAGGAGACAAGGGAGAGAGAAAGTATTGTTTTTCTATTCCTATGGCCATTCCATAAGCATATGGATTGTTGATGCTATAAACCACTCTATTGACTACTCCCACGGTATATCAGCCAGTCTATAGGGAATATTTAAAAGCTTATGGACCACTTTTGGAGCACATTGTGGTCGCTCTAACAATATTTGCTCCACCCAGGCACCTAGATCCGCACACACCAAGGAATGCAAGTAACTGTGGGATGTAAATGAGCTAGAGAATGCAACTTCCCGCGTCAACTTTTTCCCAAAATATCGAGAAGCTCGTGCTCCCCCCTAGTCCTCGTTGGAGCCTTTCGCAAGTGCCAAGCTCCTGGTTAGGTAACTTCATGGATCGCCCATGGAACATTTCCACACGCAAGTGGGTCTCCGTGTGGCCTTCTCCCAAAACACTCCCTGTCGTCTTCACTATGAAGCTTTCGGTCAAAATGCCGCATGCCTCATTCTCTTGATACAACCTAGGCGACCGCTCCACATATTCGAGGGTCTCGTAAAACTACAAACCCCTAGTGTACAAATCTTGGTGCGCGTAAGCAACGATAGCAATGAGCGCTATCCCTAATATTAGCAAGCGCTATATGCATGTGATCTAAAAGCACTATCTCTAATTCATTTGCTAATTTACGTAATCATCTATTAAGCACTTCGGTGGCTAGAACACTTAGAGATGAGCCTTAACCCTCTCTCAGCACACTCTAACACACTTGTAATGGCTGGGTATGAAAATATAGCCCCAACCAACTCAACTTGCTGATAGAAGCAAGGATTGTCTTGGCAATGAGCACTGAAAGGTCCGGCGGTCACATCAGAGAATTCTGGTGCCTTGCCACATGTACTAGCCATTGTTGATCGTTGCATGTCTTCTTGCTCTTGTGGTTTTATCTATACTACACTAGAGAATTCCGATGTGTTGTGCAACCCTTCTTTTCTTCACTATACATCACCCTATCTTTCTAGTGCTCCTCCTGGTGCATGCATCGGAGAATTCTGGTGCTCTCTTAGCCACACCCTTTTCTCCGGTGCCCCTCATTAAAGAAATGCAATGCGCATAGGAAAATTTTGGTGCACTTCTTTAGTGCTCACTGAGTTTTGTTTTCTTGCGTCTTTCTATCTGGGCTTCTTTCCTTATGTCTTGAGCTTCTTGCTAAATACTCCTCTTTAATATTTATTTGAGGAGTTGATTCTTTGATCTTCACCTTTGGCTCACTCAAGTCCATCCTTGCATCCATAAGACTAAAATCTTATATACTAAGAAACAACATTAATTACACTACTACAGTAGGTCTATCACAGTCGGTTCGTAAACCCCATCAGCGACGGTTTTGGGCCTTAGCGGTGAATTATCGACGGTGATGGTCGAGGTCATCATCGTCGGTTCATGTGGCAGAACCGCCCAAAATAGCACGCTTCCGGAGGCGCTCATCTTCCACTAGACACTAAGCACCCCGAAAGTTGGCTACACCAGGCGGTTCCATCGAGCACACCCCAAGGGAGAACTCGAACAATCCACGTTTTCACCCAGGATCCAATAATAAGTACGAGTTGATGATACTTAGTCCATACAAGGATCCATCTATGCCCATCAGAAAAATCCTCCACACAACAGCCACTCCTCAAGCTACACCTGCAACAAGGGTAAATAAACCCTGAGTACACAATGTACTCGCAAGACTTACCCGACTAGTGGGAATAATTTCTCGACTTCAAAGGATATGATAAGCTTTATGGTTTGCTGGGTTTCATTTTTGCGAAAAGCATTACTAGTAGTGAATCCTTATATATGTGTTTTATTAGCAATCATGATTAGTTCATTAGCTATCCATTCTATGTAAGCACTTGTTCTACTTTCAAACAAGAGTTGAGCAATCAGATCCATTCATCTCCTTTCATCTTCTAGTTCTTACTACGGTGCTAGATCATAGCCAAGTCGTACCATATCATACGGCGATTCGCGAACCAATATATCCCAGCTGGGTATCCCGAAACACACGCCCCGCTTGTACCCCAGGCACAAGCAAGACCAATCCACCACTCTCCTCTCAAGGGGTCTAGGTCCCCGTCCAAACTTGGACTCCAAGCCCCCACTCCTGAGTCCCGGACTCAGTGTGGTGCTTAGACCTCCACCATCCCCATCTTCAATCAGTCGGTCCGGAAAGAGCCGGAACCCATGACAAGAGAGCAATGAGCCTTGCCACTCCCATAAGCATGTATGTGCTCAAGATAATAA